CGTCGCAGCGTAACAGTGTTTCGTGAGGTATCGCGAAGCCTGTTACGCGAGACGTGGTCTGGCGTACATCTACCTTGTACCATGACCTTTTTTTGGGGTACTCTAACCATGCCTTCTGGGTCACTCGACATCATCAAGAATTAAAAAATGATTGGCTAAGCGATTAGCGAAGCCTATTACTCCGTCTGGTCGGAAAAAACTTTTTCTGTCTGTCTGTCAGTCTGTCTGTGTATCTGTCCGCACGAAAACTCGAAAACGAATTGAGCGAGCAAACTGGGATTTTCAGGGTCGTTTTATGACATAAAAAGGCAGATCGAGTTCGATGATGACCATTCTAGATCAAAAATTGGATTTAAAAAAAATCAAAAACAACAGGTCCCAAAAATGACGTTTTTAAAAAATATTGTTTTTAGCCCGCCCTTCTGCTTTGAAAAAGCTATCCAGCGGCCTTATGCAAACGACCTCGTGTCTGTGTGTCTGTATGTCTGTCTGTCTGCCTGTTCCACAAGAAGGAGATGTGCTAGAAACTCCAAATTTTCAGGGGATCTCAAGGTTCACTCCCACAAAACAAAACGCCTACGGCAAATCCTACCAGCCACCCCTAAGGGGCTGAAAGGGGGTATCGAAAAAAACAGGAAAGGCCAAAAAAGTTGGAAAAAATATTTTTTTTTATTATGATCCCCTAAGGGGTAACTTGAAAGAGTAGACTCCTCCGCCCGAAAATTTCGTCCGTTTTGCTATATTTCTCACCGTTTGGGCGCTAGAGGGAGTTTCTCTCACTAAAGTGTCCCAAAAATAAATTTATTAATTTCCGAAAATATTGAATGGTCTCCTAAGGGGTAACTCGTTAGAGTAGAGCCCCTTGGACGAAAATTTCGTCCGTTTGGCTCTATCTCCAACCGTTTAGGCGCTAGAGGGTCTTGTTTGACGAAAATAAGTTAAAAATTGCTGCAGTGAACAATTAAATGTAAAAGAAGGCCCAAAACCGCAAAAGAAGTAAGAAACTCCCTCCCCCCCACCACAAAAAACGTTTTCTAAGCAGAAGGGTGGGTTGTAGTCGCGG